TTATTACTAGAAAAAATTGCAGAATATGTACTGGCCATTTAAACCGATGCGAAGCTAAAAGCTTCCAGTGTTTAATTACAGTTCTTGAAGTGTGACCATTGGGCTCGATTGGGATAATCATCTTCCCCACTAATTATTTCTTTTGTTTTTCAAATAACCCAAGAAAAAATGGGGGAGAGAGAATCAGTAGGAAAAAAGGATAATCAATGCTAAAAAATTAGTTAAAATTTTAGACATTTTAAGCGAGTATTTTTTTTTGAGTGAAAAATAAAATTATTATTGCTAAAAAAATTTACAGAGATTTAAAAGTGTATATTATGAATAGGACTATGCTTGCTCTAAAATTACTCATTTGATTCTATTTAAAATTTACTTTTCAATATGTTTTATACAAACTAAGAAAAATTTTAAACTTTATTAACTTTAAAATTTAATAACTTTTCAACTTAATCCATATTTAATGTACATTCTACACACTACATGAATATAAATTTAACAACATAATAAATGAAGAATAAAATTATACATGTATATGAAAAATTTCCGTCTCTTTCCTGTAAATAGTACCAACAAATTTGTTCTCTCTCTATCCTATAAATAAAATTAGAGAAATATATTGTGTCTTGTATAAAAGACCGAAGGAAGTAATTAATCAGATGTTATACAAAAGAATAGATAGACCCTACTGAAAAAAAAAATTCAAGGGTAATTTTTGGTTGGAAACTACTACTTTCAATTTTTAATATAAGAGTTAGATAATTAATTCGTGAATATTTAAAAAAATTAGTTAAGCTGGTTATTTGTAATAGATATGTGTTTTTTTTCTTAAAATACTTTTGTTAATTATTCATATTAGAATGATAAAAATTCTCTAACATGTATAATCATAATTTTTGTGAGTTCATCAAAAAAATAATCATAATTTTTGTGGGGAAAAACATGTAAAATCATAATGGGGACTATTTTGAGAAAATAAATAAATAAATATGGAAAACAAAATAGATTAAGTTTTTATATTCAGAATCAAATTAAATCTCTAACTAATTCTTATATTTAGCACCAGAAGTAGCATTAAGGAACTGTATGTATCTAAAAGTTTTTTTTTTCTTAATATTACTTAGGAGGAATGGTAAAAAAAAAAATCACCCAGGAAGAGTTAAAAAAAAAAAACAATGTTGTCAGCTTTTCAGCTAAAAAATTAACATTAACTGAAATATGGCGATATCATTCATTTTTTGATACTTTTAGGACTACATTGAATAAATTTTTTTAATATATTTATAATTTTTTTGCGTGAATATTTTGGGAACAAAATTACCTTTCACCCAGAAAATAATTTTTTCTTTTGAAAAAAAAAACTAGATAGACTTGCACAGATTTTTCACATGGCGCGTAAGACGGGGCCGTCCTCACCTTGGTCTTTTTCTCATGGATGATGGATTATTGACTAGGGAGTGTTTGGATCCAAACATGGTTTAAGAAGTGTCGTCCTTGCCCGTCAAAAGCGCAATAAATGGGGAAGGTCACAGAGGAGACAATTTTATGGAAGGAAAAGCCATTGAATAACAAGTACTCATCCAATTCTTAATATAAAACCTAATTATTATTTAATTTTGATCTTAAATATAATATTTATTTTTCATATTTATCAATTTTTCTAAATTATCCCTATGGACACCTTCAACAATAATCAAGTAGAAGAGAAAGGAAAATATTAAGAAAGATGATTATGGTGTTTTAGGAAAAAACATATCATATTTTTTATAATTAACTAACTTACCTAACTTTTTAATCTAATTAAATTAGTTAAATAGGTTTTGTATTAAGGACCGGAAGAATAATTAATAAAAATTAGTTAGAAATATAATTTTATTTTTAAATATATTTTTATAATAAATAAGAAAAAGGATCAAACAGAATGTATGAGAAATCAAAATATGACAAGAGAAAAATAATTAAAACAACATTAAAAAATACATTAAATATTGAAACAAATTCAAATTAAACTTATAAAATAGATTATACTCCTTCCTAAATTTGGAACTTATAAATAAGATAGAAGGAGCACTTACAATCAACATTGGAAGCCTTTCAACTTCCCTCCCCCTCCACTTTTTGTCTCTATCATTAGATGAAATTTAAATACTTCCTCATGTCGTTTTTATAATAGCTTAAAATTTGAATTATCTTGGTTTATTTTAAAAGATTACACATATGTTTGTTTAAATATTTAATTTGTTTTTTTTTGCATTTTGTTCCTAATTAATTTTATATATTGCATTATAAAGTCCATTTATTACATATTATTACTTTTAACTAATTTTAACTATTTTCTTAAATCATGTAATTTAGTTATCAGGCTTTTATAAAAATGAATCAGAGGGAGTAATTGAGATCTAATATCTTATAAAAAAATTATATTATGAAATAACCAAAAATATATAAATAAATTTTTTGATAAGAATATATAAATAATTTTATGCTGTTAAATATGATTTTTACGGTGAATATTTTTGTTGATTTTTTTAATCCTTTGCAGTTTTGATAGGTAATATTTTAATAGTTTAATTATACACATTATTCGATGTTATAATAATGTTTTTACATGATATTAAATTTGGACCGTTTAAAATTAATCTAGCAATGAAGATAAGAAGTGAAGAGGTTCTCTTTTGAGCAACCTCGGATGTCATTTAGTGGAAGGACAAAAGGAATCTTATTTATTCATACGAATTTATTAATATCACTCGAGTTTGTTAAGGATTATAAGTGAATTTTATAATTTTTTCTATACAATTTTACATTTGTTATTATCCTCCTTTCCCCCAGTTAGAATAAAGGATATGATGAATTTGTAACCACTCAAATTTCACCAAATTTTTTTCCTTTCTATCTTTTTCTCCTATTTCTACTAGTGACATTTTTGTTATCAATGCATGCGTAAATGGTTACTCATTAATATTTTAAAATAGGTAACACTCATTTAATTCTCTAACTCCATATAAGATTTAAGTTTGATCCCTTAATTTTTAAAAATATTTTTTTCAGTTATCTAACCCTAACTTCATTAGTCACAAATGTTGATTTTTGTGACAAATATTATTATTTTGAAAATTATAATTAATATGATAATTTTTTAGAACATTTTGTTGACGTTTAAAATTTCAGTATCTGAATATTTTTTTGTTAAGTGCACTAGGGTTAAAAAAACTGAAAAGATAGTTTATAGAATTAAGAGATCAAAATGAAATCTCATGTAAAATAAAAGAGTAAAAGGACACTTTTAGTTTTCAAATATGTAGATTAGTCCTTTTTTTTTGTGTGACAATCAATATTTTGAAATGATTTTAATTTTGATTGTTGATTTATCTTTCACAACTCAGAACCTCATTTTATTGATGTTTAAAATCTTTTTATGTATTATTGAAACAAATAAACAAAATGTTCTGTTAAACATAGTGACTACATGCAATAAATTATAATACTACCTCCAGTCCTAATTATAAGAGCCAATTGACTAATTTGAGGAGATTAAGAAAATAAGTTGAGTTAGTTATTTGTCCTAAATAGGTGTTGTCTTTCCTAAAATATCCTTGCTAATCAAGTGAATTAACTAGAACTCTTATTATTAGAAGGGTACTTTGGAAAAATATGTATAAATATGAGAGACAAAGTGGATTGGGATCTTATATTTAGGACCAAAATAAAAGTCAAACAAAGTCTTATATTAAGGATCGGAGGTGGTAGTAGTAGCTAGATACCCATACAATAATGTGTGTCCGCGTTTATTATCAAGATTGCTAACATATTTCATAATATAATTAATATATTTTGTCTAAAGTATCATTCTTTTATACGCTGGTCAACAACAAAAAATCTTTTACACGTTGCATTTCTAACTAATTATAAAACTTGCTGACTAATTAATCAAACTCTTCATTCTAATTAATAACTTTTACGGATGATAATTTTAAATTTTGGCAAAAAAAAAACCTAATTTTAACTAATTTTATTAATTTATATAAAGTTGCTATTACATGTTTATAATAAGTATCCGGGATTAATACACACAAATATAACATTTAAAAGGCAAATTAAGGTAAACTCCAGAAACGTTGGACTTAGTCAGCACCTGATCTCCCCAACCACAAGGTTACATGGAGAAAGAGACATTTACGATATATTACCTATGGTCCTTAATACTACCTCTGGTCTTAAAAACTCATTTGTAGTCTGCAAATGAGATCTTATAGTTAAGATCGAAGGTAATATAAGACTTAATTGATTAATTGAGGGCCTAGAGATAATATCTTATAAATAGAAACAACACAACACAAGCCTCATCACCCAAATCTCAAACACTTTCACTAGTACTCTTAGTTCTTACCATTGTCACAATGAGGCTCTTTCCTTTCTCTTCTTTCTTCTTACCCTAAGCCTAATGTCTCATCAGGGCACTGAAGCCCAACCAAACTTCTTAAATTCTCCTGTGGTAACGGGACTACTGATGATAGCAACAGTACCTTTCAGACCAATCTCAAAAACCTTTTGATGAATATCTCCAACACGCAAATCGACTATGGCTTCTACAACTTCTCCTCCGGCAATAACTCCGACAAGGTTAACGCCATCGCACTCTGCCGAGGAGATGTTAAGGAAGCGTCGTAGTTGTCTCACAGATTCAAGGTTCTTCTTCTCCAAGTGTGCCCTAACGTGAAGGAGGCGATCGGGTGGTACGATAACTGCTTCCTGCGATACTCCAACCGAACCATATTCGGTCTCATGGAAACATCGCCATATTTCTATTTGTGGAACACACAGGATGCGTTGGAGAAAGACCAGTTCAAGAGCGTGGTGACGAAGATGATGAATCTTTTAAGAGACAGGGCTTCTTCCGGCAACTCTGTTCGGAAGTTCGCAGCGGCGAATGCGACAGGTCCGAGCAATCAGACGATATATGGTCTGGTACAGTGCACGCCAGACTTGTCACAGAACATTTGCAGAGCTTGCTTGAATGGAGCAATCTCGGAAATTCCGAAATGTTGCAATGGATTGAGAGGTGGCAGAGTGGTACGACCCAGTTGCAACATTAGATATGAGACTTACAGCTTCTTTGATCTTGCGGCTGCACAACCATTCATATCATTACAGTCGCCGCCGTCTCCTCTTCCGCCACCTGCTCCTCCGACGACACCCAAGAAAGGTATCAATATTTGCATTCAGTTCACACACACACACACACATACGGGGTAAAAGATTATCAGAGTCAATCTCTAGCTGTATCCCTCCAGAATTTGCTTGAATGGGGCAATCTCCGATTTACATGTTATACTTATGAGCACAAAATCTTGTTTTTTTGGTACAGGAAAGAGAAACACAACAGGAATTGTTGTTGCCATAGTTGTGCCAACTGTTGCGTTCATCGCACTGGTCATCTTCATCGTTATTATTAAGGCCAGGAGGCTAAAGAAGACTATCCGAAGTAAGTCAACGTATTATAAATTATGAAAAATTGATCTTTTAACCCCTCTAATTTTAGCTGATTGCAACTCAGTTTCTATATATTATTAAGTCACTTTCTAAAGTTTTGACTCGGCTGCAACTCAATTCCTAAATAGCAACCATTGCCCTAAACTTCAAGAAATATCAATTTTATTTTTTAAAATATGGAGACAAATTTTTTTATTAAATGGTTAAATTATAGAGATTGAGTTATAACTTAGTCAAAATTATAAGGACTGTGTTACAACTGACATTGATTTATAATTGAGTTGAAACATTGATTGATTACACGTATAATCAATCAATCTCAATTCAATATAAAATAATAAAGTATAGAGAAGTTCAGTATTCAATAAAAACATACAAAACAAGGAGTCCTGGAAAATCATGTCCAACATTATTTTAGTTGAAAAATATTTTCTTATGTCGCTTTAACCCTCTTGCGTACATACACTTGCGCCGCCATGCGTAACGTAGTCGGCGAAGATAAAGATGAAATCATGACGGTTGAGTCATTGCAAATGGACTTTGAAACCATCAGAGCGGCAACGAATGATTTTTCTGATGCAAATAAGCTTGGACGGGGTGGATTTGGACCTGTTTACTTGGTAAGAAATTAAATTATACAGTATTAAATTAAATATTATTCAAAAAAATTAAATATATTCAAACGGAATATTCCAGTTCCTGTATTTTATATTAGATCAAAACTCACGTATTTGATTTTTTTTTAAAAATACATAATTTCAGGGTAGGTTATATAATGGACAAGAGATAGCTGTAAAAAGGTTGAGTAGAGATTCTGGGCAAGGTGAGATGGAGTTTAAGAATGAAGTGTTGCTGGTGGCCAAGCTACAACATCGGAATTTAGTGAGGTTACTTGGTTTTTGTCTCGAAAAAGAAGAAAAGCTCCTTATTTACGAGTTTGTTCCCAACAAAAGCCTTGATTGCTTCATCTTTGGTAAGTCAATATTAATGTTTGATTCTGTGATGTCATGTACGTGTATATTTAAGCTTTTCTTCTGATTTCAGAGTACCCTATTGCCAAGTTTCTTTCACCTCTTTTAGACAAGTCGAATTCAAAGGATCACTAGATATACACAAGTCACCTTGTAACGTGTGTATTTATGTAGATTCCGTCAAAAGGGTGAAATTGAATTGGGAAAAGCGCTACAAAATTATAGAAGGCATTGCCAAAGGCCTTGTATACCTTCATCATGATTCTCGAATACGAATTGTTCATCGTGATCTCAAAGCAAGCAACGTGCTCTTAGATGAAGAGATGAATGCTAAAATATCAGACTTTGGCATGGCAAGATTATTTGTGGTAGATCAGACTCAAGCCAAGACAAGCACAGTCGTTGGGACCTAGTAAGTTTATTGATTTATGATTAGTGTTATAACACTGGAGATATAACTTGACCTTCTTTTTTTTCCTTGCTAGCAGAGATATCACTTGACTAATCAAATTTAAATATACTCATTATTCCTATAAAATATCTGATAGTGGATACATGGCACCGGAATACGTGATGAATGGAGCGTTTTCAACTAAATCAGACGTCTTTAGTTTTGGAGTATTGGTTTTAGAAATTATAATTGGCCAGAAAAATGGTCAATTTCAGAATGGAGAAAGTGAGGAGCACATAGTAAGTGCGGTAAGTACATGCCCTTTATCCATCCAAATCTAATCTTAGTACTAAAGTCAAAATTAGCCATGAATTTCTAAATAGTGTTTAAGTGAAACATACATTCAGAAAAACAAAAAACATAAAATTGATGTGGTAGTAGCTAATTATTGAACAAGTTGTTTCAGGTTTGGAAAAACTGGACAAAAGGGACATTGGCAAATATTGTGGATCCAACGTTGATGGAGGATGCTGGGACAAGAAATGAAATAATGAGATGCATCCACATAGGGTTACTGTGTGTTCAAGAAAATGCCGAACACAGGCCAACAATGGCTTCCATTTTTCCAATGCTTAGTACTCATTCAATCACCCTTCCTGTTCCTTCAGAACCTTCATTTTATATCTGGAGAAGCTTACCAGGAATCAAATCACTATCTTCTGGAGATCAATCCGCCGATGGATCAATAAATCAGCTTTCAGTGTCAGAGCAGTATCCTCGGTAGCTATAATATGTTGTAGGAAAAATTACTATGTTGTCCCAAAGAGAAAAAAATATAATTATTATATATGTATGTGTGTGTATTTTGATTTGCTGTGTAACACTACTAGGAGTAAAAACATATATGCAGTGGTTTTATATCTCATGATTAGCTTTTGTGAATTATGATATGGTTTGTGTGTGTGTGTATCGGATAATACATACAACTAACGAACAATAGAGTTTTATTTTATTCATATAATTGATAAATACCAAAAGTAAAGGGGACCCCTTAGTTTGAATTAAGCCAAAATAAAAGGATAAATTAAAATATGAGATAAAAATAACAAAATGAATAACATTCTAAAATAAGAAGTGAAAGGTTGGGGGTGATGATTTCCTTAGCATTTCATAAAAACTATAATTAGCTTCCCTTTAATTTATTTGTATAATGCAATTATTGCTAAATTAACTCAAGACTCTATTTTTTTTTTTGGGCCGAACTCAAGGCTCTAATTACTTGTTAATACCTTTTCAATCATTTATAGTTAAATAAATTAAAGAGTGTTTATACAAATAAGCTAGAACATGTGAATTAGAGTTTTATATATTAAGTAGCTTCTTATGAAATGTTAAGAGAAAAATTGCATTGACAAACCTTTCACTACTTATAATTGAGTCTAGAACTTGATTTCTATTCCCCCCCCCAAAAATATAGCTTAGCATTTGGTAATATTTTATCAGCTTTCAAAGGCTTAATGTTTTTTTTTTAAAATAGTTTTGGGGTTAAAGGACTAAAAGTATACTTTTGAAAGTTAAGGGATCAAACTGAAACCTTACATAAAGTTAAAAGACTAAATATATATTTTAACCAATAATAATGTCAGCATCCTGGAAAGAAATGTCAAGAAGGTGATAATCTGGAAATCAACAATTATCTTCAAAGGTAGATGAGACTCTCTTTCCTCTCCTTTCATGTCAATTTCCAAACAAAATTGACAGCTAATTAAATATAAATGGAGAAATCTCGTGTGTCTTAAAAAAGATAATCAGAAATATAATTATCAAAAAATATTTTAACAATTGAATGACAAATTCTGGGATAAAAATAGGAAAAATTACAATTAGGTCCCATCCAAGAAAATTAAATATAAAAAGGTCTCTTAAAATCATAAAATTATTCTAAAGACCTTATTGTAATAAATTTTATTTGTTCAGTTACCAAATTATTTTTTTCCCCCTAAAGTTTGCATTGACAACTGAAAGAGCAGTGGTTAACAACTTAGGGGGTAAGGATTGACAACTATTGAGGAAGGTATTAACAACTCATATATTAGATTTTGTGATGTGTTGAAAAACTGTATTGTCAATACTTGCAGTGATAATTGTTCATCCATACATTTTAAGTTGTTAACGACTGCTTTTTCAGTTGTCAGTATAAACTTAAAAAAAAAAAAAGATAATTTGGTAATTAAACAAATAAAATTTATTGCAAAAAAGTTTCTTGGGACTTTATAAAATAATTTCATGATATAAAGAGACTTGTTTGTATTTAATTCTCTTGGATAGAACCTAATTGTAATTTTTCCTAAAAAATAAAGACAAGATTCAAACTATTCTCTTCTATTTGAAATTTTTAATAGGACAATACTTACATTAAGTTTTTCTTTTCTTATGTCCATTATGTGAAGTTTTTCAATCAAATTTAGCCTTGTCTACTTTTTTTAAAATATTATCATTAAACTATTTTTTTACCAGCATTTTCATTAAACTATTAAACCCATATGAAAAAATATATACGATACAGATTATGTCCATTAAAAAACTTGATATAATGGATATAACATAAAGAATTTGATGTGATTATTTTCTTTTTTTATAATGATATATAATATGTATGTATATTTTCTTCTATCATCTCACAGTGATTCTTCCAATATATGAAAATACATGTTGATGAGATGAGACAGCTCCCTTAGACGTAGGACGCAAGGCATAATGGTTTTTCCATCTAAGAAAATTGACTTCACAAATCAAAACGGAAACATTGTGCCTCCGCATACCTGTAATGGGTCCACCAAGCTTAATTTCTTCCCATTAAATTAATGTAGTCTTTTTACCCTACTAATGCTGGGACAATGATATATGAAGACCTGAGGAATGAATTGATATAAGCAAGGTAGCGTAATTTTTCATCTCAGAGAGATTCTTCCGATATGAAAATACATGTTGATGAGATGAGACAGCTCCCTTAGACGTAGGACGCAAGGCATAATGGTTTTTCCATCTAAGAAAATTGACATCACAAATCAAAACGGAAACACTGTACCTCCACATACCCGTAATTGGTCCACCAGCAATTTTTCAGATGATAATGAAAGCAATAAGGCAACTAGTCAACGAAATTATTGTGATTGTTATCATTTTTTCGTGAAGTGTTTGGTATTTACTATTTAGTATGATAGAATGAGTTGTTACTAAATTTTTTATATTGGCAGTAATACTCGAACTTATTTACTCCATCCCGTCATTATGGCAAACTTCAAATAATGTATAACCAAAAAATTGCTAAAATTAGTTTAAAACAATAAATAAGTAAGAAATAAACTTTTATTTTCAAATATAGCCTTATAATAAATAAGAAAAATGATGAGAGAGAATATATAGAGATAATGAGAGAAAGTATGACAAATGAGACATAATAAATAATTAAGTGTAAAACTAAAAAAAAATACATTATATGTTGAGATAAAACCAAATTGAAATTTATAAAATAGGCTAAATATTTTTTCAAATTCAAAGCTTAAAAATAGGAGCATACATAGTATAAAATATTAGTTCATTATAGCTACATTCATTTATTTTCAAGGCATAGTTAACGAGCTATTATTATTATTGTTGTTGTTATTATTACTACTATTTCTGTTTTGATGAAACGTGTTGGAAGTGATTAACTTATAAATATAGCAAGAGAAGTTAATTCTTTATATTATAAAAGAATAAACTTAAAATGATTGAATTAAGGTCGCTATAAGTAATTTAATTAATTTGTCGAACTCCCCAACCATTCCCTCATTTTTTTTCTTGCACCCACTGAAGTGTTGAAAATGTAATCCTTTTAGAGATTGTATATGATTTGAACTGATGGAGTATATAAGTGGAAGAGCCAAGACATGAAAAAGAATTCTAGTGGCACCCTTTCTGTATTAAGCCACAGAGACATGGTCTCTGCACGGCTAAAACAAGAACCCACACAGCCTTTGCAATAAGTCAAGGCTCAGTGAAAAGTGACAAGTCCATCCAATTAGGTAATTTGGACTTAGTCATCCCATTGATTAATAATTGGTGACTTCTTTTCTATGAGATTTTCGTTTCCCCTATATGCAAAGGTTGGCCAAGAAGCACTATCTTTGTGCGTCTCTTTCAATAGTGAAGAAGACTTTAAAAGTGCGTAAACATCATATTGTGCCGTATTTCTCACAGTGAGGCATCTATTTTTTCCTACCCTTTTATTCTTATAGACTAATGTGGAAGTAACGAATTATTTAATTACCCTAAAGGAATCTAAACTCAATGACTAGCTAGTAAAAGTCGCATTAATTAAGTTTGGAACTTTGTCATTATCCCCACCCGCACTTTAGTTTACTTCTGACCAGCAAGTCATCATTTTGCTAAATGACAATTCTCAAACATCATATCCCACTATCCTGTATTTTTTTGAATGGAAAGGAAAATATCATTCAAAGAAACGAAGCAAGGACAGTCAACGGTACAAGATTAAAGGCCGAAAAAAAAAAAAAGAACAGTAAGCAATACACACGAGACATAGCAAAACAAATCATAAGCAAAATTAAGTTTACATATCAATTGAAATAATAAGATTAATGGTTTTCAGAGTATGATTAACTATCCCTTCAGTAGGTGCATAGAAATCATCATCATATTAAAACCTAACCCAAGTTGCCCAGTCTGACTAGTGAGTCTGATCAAATTTTGGACAGACACGGTCTCTGTACGGCGAAAACAAGACCACATACAACTTTCGCAATAAGTCAAAGCTCAGTGAAAAGTGACAAGTCCATCCAATTAGTTAATTTGGACTTAGTCATCCCATTGATTAATAATTGGTGACTTCTTTTCTATGAGATTTTCGTTTCCCCTATATGCAAAGGTTGGCCAAGAAGCACTATCTTTGTGCGTCTCTTTCAATAGTGAAGAAGACTTTAAAAGTGCGTAAACATCATATTGTGCCGTATTTCTCACAGTGAGGCATCTATTTTTTCCTACCCTTTTATTCTTATAGACTAATGTGGAAGTAACGAATTATTTAATTACCCTAAAGGAATCTAAACTCAAAATGACTAGCTAGTAAAAGCCGCATTAATTAAGTTTGGAACTTTGTCATTATCCCCACCCGCACTTTAGTTTACTTCTGACCAGCAAGTCATCATTTTGCTAAATGACAATTCTCAAACATCATATCCCACTATCCTTTTTTTTTTTAATGGAAAGGAAAATATCATTCAAAGAAACGAAGCAAGGACAGTCAACGGTACTAGATTAAAGGCAAAAAAAAAAAAACAGAGAGAACAGTAAGCAATACACACGAGACATGGCAAAACAAATCATAGGCAAAATTAAGTTTACATATCAATTGAAATAATAAGATTAATGGTTTTCAGAGTATGATTAACTATCGCTTCAGTAGGTGCATAGAAAATACGCACAATCATCATCATATTAACCCAGGTTGCTTAGTCTGACTAGTGAGCTAATAAAGTAGTTTTTTTGACCAACCTACCCAAATTTTGGATAGATCGATCAGCTTAGATTTTATGTCTTTTATTAAGCTTGAAATGGCATTTGTTGGATCATGCATAATTTATACACGGATATTCTATATACTTATGGATTAATGTTCTTGATATGAATATTATTTTAATTATGATTGGTCTAATTCTGGTAAATCATCATAATTTAAATTACTGTCTTCATGAGTTTATTAATATTAATCGATTTTGTTTTTAGTACCTTGACCTTAACAATTACCATGGCTAAGCCTAGTTCCTTTGTTTTACTTTATTTTTCCTCACCCTAATTCTGGCACCAAGAC